GACAAAATATGCTGTAAAATGCTTCCTTACATGACCGATTGCACACCTAGGTATTATTCTGAGCACAGAGAAAAGTGAAATTTGGTGGATCAGGCATGTCTGAGTACCCAGTGATATTATGGACAGTTCTAGTGAAAGAATTGCAAAGCCACATCAGTCGGAGTCCCTGAATTCTTCGGTTCAGATCACTCCCAAAAAGAAGGGGAAAACTTCGATACTATATGCCGTGATCAGCATCAGATGAAAGTGTGTTGTAGCAACTCCCAGGAGAAGAACTAGCCCTCATTTGTGGCTGAAAAATGCAGATTTTTTAAGTGTCCAACTGTCTAGCCACCAGGCTTTCTCATGTTCTAATGCTGTTTCAGCTGAACAACGAAAACGAGGAGCATGCCAGGAAGCTAGCGGAGCGCGAGAAGGAATTTAGGGATATTTTTTCTTAATTGTACTTCCTGTCCCTCACTGATTGATCGATTCGTGTTAGCTCAAATCGTCGTCTGTAGCTGTCCAAGCTGTCTGACAAAAGTTCGCATGTGTGCTTGCCTGTTCGTATACTGCTTAATTGATTCTTGCCACTGTTGATTTGCTCTTAATATACGTGCTAATTGGGCGGTTGTGTGTTCCACCATCTCTACTGCATTTGTTTTTGTTTGACAAATTCCGATTGCCATCACATAAAAGTCGCCGAAATCTGTGCTACCATTGCAGTGCATTTGTACAAAAAAGCAGTTATTGATCATCGGTACGCGCATTGCAGTGGTTGCGCAGCAATAAATGTATACCATCAGAATAATTTGCATTAGCTTTTGCGTATATCATTAAAATAGTTCATATTTTTGCAGCGCAAATGTCATCAAAACCTTTGGCAAAATTACAGTGTGCATACGCTCTGCACATCCAGTTCGGATCAGATGAATATCTGTAAAAGGGATCAGAAAACAGGAGTGAGAGCATCGTGAGCAGTACCGCTATCAGCAGAATCCCGCGCGTGGTTCCTGCGTACGGCCCCGTAAGATTTTTCGGCGGGAAAACGGCCAGCTCGGGAACTAGCAAAGCTGGGAAGCTGAAATTTTCAGGGAATGTCTGTAGTCCACGTGCGACTTAAATTTATCAAATTCATCCCCCACCCCGGGCATGCTCGTTCGAATCCCCCTCTCTAATCCATTTTTGCGTGAGAAGTGGAGACACTCAAAAGTAGCCTGCGCCAACAGCAATCACTGGCTGGCAGTACTGCCCAGAAAGTGAGTAGCAGCATCAAGCAGTTGGAAGCAAGTAGCCGCTGCTGAGCGACAGGCATAGCTATTTGCCCGACACTTCTGAGTAGACGATTCTGGTCCACCTCTCTCCCTTGTTATAAATGAAAGGGGGGCCAGTGCTGCAAAAGCTTTGATTTAAAGTTGGAACTAAAATAAACTACGGCCTAAAGTAACTGTAAACTAAAATAACCCCAAGCTCTGTTCCTAGTTTTTGCATAGTTCCAAGGTGGGAGGGGATTCTCCTCGCCACCCCTTCGTCCCCGTTCTCGACTCCCCTCCTGCTCTGCTGTCTCCTTCTCCGCCCTTCAGTTGCATTGTCGCTGTGCAGTTTGTTTCCTCATGTTTGAATTTGGCGCGTTGGTCTTTGGTCTTTTCCGTTCGATGATCGGTCACTGCTCTTTTTGGGGGGTTCCCTCGGGGAATTTGTTGGTTGTTAGTGGGGTTTCTGTGGTGGGGCTGGCGTTTTTTAGGTGCTCCTCTGCCTCTTGCACTGAGTTCGGTGGGGCCCCCTCTCTTCTCCCGCGTTACCACGCTCTTCAGCTTACGGGGGTTGCAGGATGTTGTGATACACGCGCACAAATGCACTTGAGTCTGGTCCTCGATGAATATTGCGTAGTGGCAGTGATAGTGCACCAGCAAAGTTTGCCCAGCCCGTGGAATTACCTGATTTTTGGTGATGACAACTCCGGAATTTCTGGCTCACCCCTCTCTCTCTCTGTTACTTGGGGGAGGGATCCGTCTGTCCTACTCTGCCCTGCTAGTAATTGTTCGCTCTGTACCTGTGTGCCTTCGTGTTCCTTTCCCTCATTTCTCACTTTGTTTGCTCCTTCACTTATATCTATTTCTTCCTGTCATCTGTCTTGCAAATCACTTACATGACTATTCAAAACATGGCGGGTAGAAGGCTGTACTGATGTGATTCCCACTCCTACCCGCATGCACTGTTCGGCCTGTGTGTGTACAGCTAAGGGATGAAACACAGGCTGCTACATAAAATATCTTCAAATACATGACATTCAAGTGAAATCCTTCTATTCTTCTATGTTTTTTTCCGCCTTTCTCGAATGGACGATTTGGTTCTTGAAGATACTGCTCCCCCGCCCCCTCCCCCCTCCTCAATCGCTGAAAGTAAAGAATAGGCGTTTTGGCGCCCCTGTATCTGCGGCACTGGAGCAGCAAGTGCGGTGCTGTGCGATGTGCTGCTTCTAC